GAAGTGATCCGGCGCAGCCTGGAGATAAAGGGCAGATTCCCCGCCTCGGCTGCTCGGCTGCCCTCCGACCTGGGCCTTTTTCTCTCCTTCTCCCCCAAAGGATCCCTCGCCCCACACACGGGCAGAAGGCGCCCAGCGGGGAAGCCTGAGGGCCTCCCGACTTCCGGAGAGACACGCGTCCGAGTGGATCCTTCCATCTCTGCCCCCGAGACCAGACCAGCCCCTCGCCGCGTCCCCGGCTTTGCAGGCTGATCCCGGGCAGGCGCCCGCGGAAGTACCACGGGCAGGATTCAAGCCGCTGCCGCGTCTCCTCCAGGGACGGCGGAGAGAAGGCTGCGCGACCCCAGAGGCACCCAGAGCTTCACGAAGACGGTGCGGGGTTGGGCTGGCCGCCGGCGGGGGGTGGATGGAGGGCAGAGCAATGAAGCGACGCGTTGAGAAAGCCTTCACCCCACCGATCTCCGAACTCACTCCCCGCCCGAGAGCGTTGCTTGGCTCCTAAGAATTAGTCTGAGCGTGTATAAATGCGTGCGCGTGTGCTCCTGGCTGCGTTCGTTCTTCTCTGCCCCATTTCTCTTGGATATAGGGGATCTTGAGTCATCTTCACTCTCTAAAGATGCAAAAATTAAAAAATCCGCGCCGCTGAGGTTAGTCTCTCTCTCACGCGCGCGCCTAAGTGCACGCTTTTTAGCCCCCTACTCAGCACTAGTTAATCTGCAGTAACTATCCCCTCTCACCGTACTGATGATGACTAGCCATGGCCAGCTAGAATCCCCGATTAAGAGCCCGGATCTCCATAAGAGGAAGGAGGAAATCCCCCTATTACCATTTTACAGCCTTCCTCTTTGGGTTCAGACAAAATAAAGGGGGCTGCGAGTGACGGGGCAGCTATTCCACATTAAGCAACGTGGAGGTGTCCCGAGGGATACCCTGGAGACCCAACAGTCCATAAGTCAAAATAAATGGTGCTGTGCTACAGACTTGGTGGTTTCCGAGCGCGGACCACTCCTTGGAGGAGGAGGAGGAGGCTCTTAAGATCAAGGAAGATTTTATTTAAAATTCCCCTGGACTTTAACTCAGGAAATTTCCAGATCCTGGAAAATCCCAAGAGGTTTTGCCAAGTTTCCTAAAACTTTCCTAAGATCCGCGCAATGAGATTGCCTTTCGCCCGCTGGGGAGTTCGCGTAATTTCTCTCAAGGAATCCATGGCTCTCCACCCTCCGGTCTTCGTTCCTCTACGTGGTGGGCACAGGGTGGTTAGAGTGTTTAAACGCCACTTCTCCACCCGAATTACTCCGGCGCAGATATAGCCCCGGTGTCATTCGGTGGGGGCCAGATCGTTGTTAAAAATGAAATGAGTCAGTCCAGAGATGGGCAGGAAGGGGCTTGTTCTAAAATTTGCCAGGGCTATGCCCCCCCCAAAAGGGGGGGATTTGAGTGGCGCAGTTCCGGCTGCGATCCTATGGGGTGGAATAAAACCCGTCAAGTCCGAAGCAGCAGGACAACAATCCCCCCTGGAATCCAATATAATTTATTTATCCTAGACAGGTAGAGGTTAGACTGTAAAGCTGCAATTTTACGCAGCCTTCCTGTCGAGAGATTCAGGGATCCGACGGATTCCCTTCTTCAGAATCCGTTTCCTCTCTCTTCAGAACCGACCTTCCTTCCTTCCTTCCTTCCTTCCTTCCTTCCTTCCTTCCTTCCTTCCTTCCTTCCTTCCTTCCTTCGGCTCAGAGGCCTCCCATGCCCTCTTTTCCCTGCAAAGAAAAGAGGAGAGAGGAACCCTTCCAGGCGGGGGGAGGGGGGCTTGCGGAGACCGGGAAAGGAGCCCCGAGAAGCCCCGCAACACCATGCGGGCGCGCGGGAAAGATGCTGCCCTTGACCTACGGAGGGATGCGGGGAAGAGACCTTCCCTGCGGAACCCCATCCATTCTGTCCGGGAAAAGAAGCTTGAGCTGTTCTCACGAAATGAAGCATCAAACAGCGGTCCTGTCTCCAAAACGGTCTCCTCCGCTTCTCCCGCGGTTTCCACCGCTCGGCTGTACTCTAACGGGCCGGGATGAGCGAGTTCGCCGCCGCATCCCCGAACATTGATTTGAATGAGCGAGTGATGGATACCGACCGTCTATTGGTTGGGGGAAGGGCGAAGGAGGAGCAGATTTCTTTTTAGACGCTGCGGGACGGGCTTGATTTTTATCCCCTTCTCTTTCTTGTTTGTCTCAAGGAGGAAAGTTTTCCTCCCAGGCGAGCCGACTGCATGGGTTTGGGTTTGTTTTTTTATTTTATTTTATTTTTTCCCCTTAGAAGGAGAACGGGAGTGTTTCCCCCGCCCCCGGAAGGCGGATATAGAAATGCGCTGCTGTTCAGGATGAATCTGCAGGACTGACAGCCTTCTGCAGGCTGGATCCTCGGATCCTCAACGTCCCACTGGTTTCACCTGAATCTACAGACAAGATTCTAAACCGATCTGTTCCGCACTTTCAGTTCCACTGAACCGATGAGATTGTCTTCGGCGGAAACAAATACAAGCATTCGCTGCAGGTCCTGGCAGATTAATAAGCCGATCCGGCGATCCTCGGCACAATTACTCGAGAGTCGGCCGCTTTGACCTCTTGGGTATTGGTTTCCCAGTAAATATCCCACATAATTCTGTGAATGCGCGCCAGGCCGCAGACGCCCCCACCGTCATAAAAAAAAAAAATCTTATTTTACCAAATGTCATCTGTTCCAGCCTCAGCCAAGGATATTTTAATGCTGCGGTTCTTAATACGTTGTTATTCTTCGAGGCAGCTTAAAGCCGGAATTTCACTGAACTTATCCGAGTGCCGAACAAACCTGCCCAGGAATAGGGCTGTAAATCGCACTACCCGTGCACACACGGAAAGACACCCACAAATTCCGTGACAGAGTTCACCCAGCTGCGTTCACACCGCGCAACTTATTTCCCTTTAAAGACAGGCCATATAAATATCTACCCCGTTAACCCAGAACTTCCATGAACTCAAGGGCAGGCTCGCCATGGCAGAAAATCCGGCTTAAAAATTCAAGCTGGTGAAGATTATTTTATGCTTTACTTCATCCTCCTCCACCTCCTCCTCCTCTCCCAAGCGCACGTCTTGGATCCCAAATTACCCAGGCATTGAATAGCACACATCTTGGCACGGACCCCCTTAATCCAGATCAAATTTACAGTGTTCTGCACGGGAGTGGTCTGCCTTTGGGGCTAGGGGGAATGTCGCACGACTAGACAGAAAGAAGACGGGATTCCGTTTGTTTCCATGGATTTATTTGCTGTAAACATTAAAAGTGTCTCTCTCAAAGAAAGAGTTTTTAGAGAGGAAATGTCCGCGTCTTAACTTTCATATATATGAAGGGAGGGCGTCTGTCAGGGACGGGGAGGGAAGGGGTATTGACTTAAGAATCTGCCATACTGGAAATATACATGGGGGTGGGGGGAATATATATTATATTTACTACAGAAAATGGCATTTAAGGTTTTTTTTAAAAAAATCTTACTGAAACGTAAAATAATATATTAACCAACAATTGTAGACATTTTAAAAAAAGAAAATAATTTTTTTTAAAAAAATGGAAAGGAAATACATTTTTTTACCAAAATCAAAATTCAAAGTGCTCAATAATTTCCAGTGAGTTCTGCAGAGAAGATAAACACTCTGGAAACAGTCAAAAAGCTTTCTGCATGCAAGACTGATTTCGCTTCAGACAACAAATTAATCAAGATATAAACTGTTTTCTTTTAATCAGCATCAACAATACATACGACACTTACAAACAAGGAATGCCGGACGGTTGTTTACAAACACGGGAACTTGGGTCCCTTTCGGAAGTGGAGGGTTTCTTTCCTCCCGGGGAGAAGGGAATCTGTTTGGATTGGTGTTAACACGTGTGCCCACCTATTTACAATTGAGGAAAACGTCGGGGGCTTCTTAGAGAACTACCAATCTTTATAAAATCTAGCAGACTACATAGTGTCTGAAATAACTATTTATAGAATATAGACATTACTGAAATAGCAAGTGCCTATAATTATCATGGTCCTCCTAGAATCGTCAAGCTTTCTCTAGAATGGATCTTGAATTGTCAACGTCGTGTGTTTCAAACCCCTTTATAATTTATTCTTCTGATTGTTTTCTTTCTCTCTGTTTTTCCCCCACTCTCTCTCTCTCTCTCTCTCTCCTTAATTTTTAGCATCTGTTAGAATAGCTTATTCATAAATAGGCACAGAATAGTTTTTTTTCTTTTTCTTTTTCTTTTTTAAGAAAGAAACAGCCCAACCGCCTCTGATAAATGTACAATCCTTCGCCTTCTGTCGATTCATGCCACCCTCTCGCTTGGACTTCGTAGTCTATATAGTACAGATTTCCTTTACACCAGAACACGCTTTTAAGCCTTAATAAAGGGGGGGGGGGAGAGACGAATGTTAGGAGGGAGGGAGGGAAGGGAGGGGTGACCTTAATACTTTTGCCTTCAGCAGCAGCTAAGACTGAGCAAGGCTCAGCTTTTCTAACTCAAAAGTCCTTGTTCATCATCACCACCACCACCATCACAGTAACAGTAATAAACTCTGGGTTTGGTTCGGTTCTCGGGAGAGGGAAAGTGAAGGATGCTTTTCGTTTAGGCGATAATAAAAAGTTTGTGTACCATGGGATCTGTGTGCAGTCCAAGGAAGGGCATCCAGCCGGCCTAGAGACAGTCCCCAGTGCCCAGTCTCTGTGGTGCAGGAGAGGCTAAACGGAGTTTGAAGGAAAGGGGGCAAAGCCCTTACAGGAGCTCCATGCGGAACAGAGGTGCGCTCGCTCTCTTCCTCTCTTTTTCTGCCCCCGTCTCAGCTCCCCCATCTGCTTTCTTTCTTCTTCTGCCCCCCCCTTTTGAGGCCTTTAAAAGTTCTTTAATTTGAAAGCATAGCAGCAAAGTGTCTCTGTGTCTTTCTCTCTCTCTCTCTCCCCCCCCCTTCTCTCTCCCTCTGCCTTTTTTCCTCTCTCTCTCTCTCGCTCTCTTTCTCTCGCGCGCTCTCTCGCTCTCGTTTCTAAAAAGGTAACGTGTCCAGGAACAGTTTGTCGATTATTGCTGGCGGCGGCACCAGGTCTTCCAGTTTCAGGTAGAAAATGCGCTGGAGGCCCTGCGTGCAGAGGGTGCGCAGTTCCGGCAGCTTCCCCAGGAGTTTCGACAAGTAATTGGGCCGGTTCAAGCCGCCGTTGTTGAACGTCACGTGGTCCTTGAGACAATTGACGATCTTGTTCTGGAGCTCTTCCACCCGCTTGGGCTCCTTCAGGCCATGCCGCTCTGCAAGCCGCGAGGAGAGAAAGCAAGCGCGCGTTAGACACGCCACACACGGCAAACCAGCGTGGACCGGGGGGGGGAGGAGGAGGAAGAGGAGGGGGGGGGAGGGGGCCAGTCGTCCCCCACCCCACCCTCCCTAAACAGACCCCGGCCCACTATAAGGACCCTTCCTTTTCCCAGCCAGGGCCAAGGGAGTGCTTCCACAGAGTTTGAGAAATTTACACCTCTGGGACTCCTTCCTATAATGCCGAAGAGTTAGGTGTGTGTGCGCTAGTCTGTTGCAGCAAGAACTGCAAAGTGTGTTCTAGCTAAGGTATGCAACATACAGAACAAACAAACAAACAGAACAAAAGTCTTGCGACAGCTTGAAGACTAACAGATTGATTTCTGTGTGGGCTTTTCTGATTCTGTTGCTATTCTGAGCCTTCAAGTTGGGCCCGGATAGGCTTTCTAGGTAGGTGAGATATTTAGGGAGAGGTTTTACCATTTTCCACTCCCCCAATGAGCTTCCCTGGCTGAGCAGAGATTCAAAACCAGGCCTCCTAGTTAGTAACTCTATCCACTACACAACAGGGGGCATCCAGTGTGCTCCCGGGATATTGAACTATCTTCCACTTCTTCAAAAATTAGGATCCAGAAAAGCTCACACCCAGACAAGTATGCTTTTTATCTGACAGTTCGACAAAATTTGCTTGCTCCTTTGATTTTTTGTTTGTTTGATTTACATACTAAGAGGGCTTTGAAAGAGCTGAGGTGGACGTTCCCATATGCATTGCTACACATGGTGTGACACTTCTAAGACTACCATATTTTCCATCCCCAGGGATGACCATGATCACTGTGTAGCCCAAGTACAGCAGAACTTCCAAAAGAGGGTAACTATTTTGAGCTCCTCGGTTATCTGGATAGTTTGGCAGTTACCTGGAAAACCCTGGGGATAAATCTCCTTGCTTGCTGAGGAAAGACAGGAGTTGAGGGCCCTGCCGGGCTGGGACCCCCTGCACCCATCTTGAGTGTCAGTTCCACCCAAGGGGATACAATGGGCTGGGGTGCAGGAAGATCTAGCTCAGACCTGGAACATGCACAACCACTGAGAGTGACCTGAGACTTGTTATGTTCTATGGAGTGTAGTGAGTCTGTGGCAGGGTAGTTAAACACAGGCTAGGGTTTTTTCTGAATTAATTCAAGGCCAGCTAGAAAGGGAGGAAAGGACTCAAAATGCACTTAATAAGTGAAAAGTGAGGACAGTTTAGCTAAATACCCAGTCTCGTTTAGTTCAGAGTAAAACAGGGATTTATGAATGGAGGAAGGGGGCATTTTAATCTCAGGCAGTATTGCTAGGATTAAACAGATGGGGCTGGTTGTGTGGATGTGGATTTTAACTCTGGAGTACAGGAGGGTGACTTTCTGGCCCACATGAGACGTTCGATCTGCTTTAGCAACTGTTGAGGATGAAAGGGGGGTCACAGACGGGATCTTTTCAGCGGAAGCCCAGACTGTGCCCTGGAATAGAGGTTGCTTTGAAGGCCTGGGTGCGGAGCGGAACCAAGGCCACCCCGCCACTCTCGTCACCATCAGGGCCGCGGCCAGGAGGAATGGGCCGAGGGGAGGAGGGCGCTCTCACCTGTCACCATGGCCAGGGCAGCGATGCAGGAAAAGGCAGAGATGTCGACGTTCATGTTCTGCAGGTTGGAGGAGAACTCCACGATGGAGTCGATCCACTCCCCGAAGCCGCGCACGCACTGCAACCGGTGGAGGACCACCCCGTTGCAGAAGATCAGCTTGCCTTCCACCGGGTTGGACCTGCCCAGGGAGCGGGTCCAGGGCGGCCCAAGAGGGAAGGAGGAAAAGAGAGAGGGAGAAACACAGACAGACAAGACAGACAGACAAAGGGGAGGGGAGAGGATTGTATGCGTGAGAGAGAGAGTAAGAAAGAGGCGGAGGAACGGGGAGAGAGAGAGGGAGAGAGAGAGAAAGGCAAACAACTAATTATTCCCAGAGCAATAAATGGAGGGTTTAAGAGGCACCTAATTACCAAGGAGTTAATAAAAAGCAGCTCAGCGGACCTTGAAGGGCTGGGGGGGTTTCTCTCTCGGAGGGTTCCCCAAGTCTTCCCGTGTCTCCCCCCCCCCACACGCACGCACCCCGCACATTTCCCTGCCGCCTCCTTCCACTCCGACCTAGCAGCAGGCCGGGTCGCCCTCTTTCCACCCAAAACGCCTACCTGTAGGCTAACCGCAGGACGAAGAGCTCCAGGAAGGCTGACTCAAAAAGCAAGTCCTGGTCTTGTTTGGGGAGATCGGTGAAGCCGGGGATCTTCTCCGCCCAGCCCCGGATGATCTCCATGGAGCCGGTCAAGAGATCGTAGAACTGCTGGATGTGCTGCGTGTCGTCCCCGCTCATCTGGTAGTCCGGGTTGGCTTGGAACTGGGATTCCCGTGGCAAAAGAAGAGGATGGGATGATGGAGAGCGGTGGGGGGAATTGAATAAGAAGGAAATTGGGGAGGGGAAAGAGAAAGAGAGAGAGAGAGAGGAGAGAGACCCCAGCCGTTTAATGAGGTTCTCTAAAATATATCGCCCGTGAAATTGTTAACCCCCGTTCCGAGGAGGGGGGCCAGGTTTTTATAACAATTAAACCTCACTCTGACCAGTAAAGAAATTAGATGTTCCAGGGCAATTAATTCAGTCCGGGCTCGTGCTAGGAAGGGATGGATGGCCGAGGACTGGAGGGCTGGGGATGGCCGTGGCTGCCAAGGCGCGCCTGCCTCGGGCGCCCGGGGAAAGGCAGCTGCCGAAGGGCTGGCCGCAAAGGATCCCGGCGGCATCAACAGCAAGGCCGCCGAAGTGTCCCTGAGGGACGAGCCCAGAAGAGCTGGCCCGTCGGTGATGAGACAAATAGATAAGCCAGAGATACAGCAATAGATGAAGCGCGCACACGTGCTGGAAGAGACACGACTCGGCTACACAAGTGCGTGTCCGCCCCTTCCCTGGTCGTTTTAGCTGTACCGCGTCCGACAGTCAACCGCCTGTCTCTGGCTGGGCTGGGGAACAGGAGGACCCCGGACGAGCCAGAGGGGCTGCCTGCTATGGTAGGGAGAGGGAAAGGCCCCGTGGACACGCGCCGTTTTCCTTCCCCAGTAAACTGGAGTGGGCGCGAGCTTAAAAAGCATTTTATTCCGAGAAAACTCGCTGAAGCCACTGGAAGGAAAAGAGCCTAAAAGATCAGGGGCTTATTCGGTTCGGTGGGGAGGGGGGCGGCGTTCACCCCTCAACCTCGACTGGAATTGAAGGCTTAGAAGCTAACCCCCCGCATATGCACACACGCTAAGAAGTAGGTCTCACTCGGAACACTGGGGCCGACTCCCGGGTAAACCTATATAAAGCGTCTGCCTAAATCATCGGCAACTCTTCTCTACCCCCGGGCCAGGATCTTACAAGTTGCGGGACCTCTTTTTTTTTCCCCCTCCACCACCACCCCTCTGCTGCCCGGGGTGCGCAAGGGAAGAACTGGCCTCACTAGGGACTAGCCCCGTGCTCTCGCTCCTTCCCCGCGAGGAGGACCCTTAGGCGAATGTTGTGGTCCATCTTACCCTGGAATAGTCCAGGCTGGTCATAGGCGGGTTGGAGTCGACATGGGCTCTCACCAGGGCACTGATCAGACTCACCGGGGGCGAAGGGGGAGAGGGCTCCTGGGGGCTCTTCGGTTTCGATGGCAAGCGACCCCTTCGGCCTTTTAAACTGTCGGTGCGAACCACTGCAAAAGAGAAAGGCCGATCAGCCAGCCCGGCCCGGCGACGCTCCCACACAACGCACCCACCGTCCCACTCCCGTCCGGGTTTTCTTGTCTTCGGCATTGAGGGGAGTGGGGAAAGGGCACGACTCGGCTTCCTGCTCGGACAGGCCAGGCAGCAATGGCAGGATCTCCCGGGAGGAAAATGTCTTCCTTTTTTTCTCTCCCCCTTTTTCAAAATTGATTTTTCCCCCTCCACCGACCACCAATCCCTTGCCGTGGAAATCTTTTTAACTCTGTGGAAACATCAGGGCTGCAACTGGTCCCCATTTTCCCGCGTTTAAGGGCAGGTGTTGGAACAGCACCTCTTCCGAATTGGGACCCTTCTTCCCTGGCCTCCAGTTTTCTTAATATTTTAGAAAACAGTGCCTCTGAGAACTTAGGCCTATTGACACTTCCTCGCCCAGGGCTCCAGCCTGCCTTGACGTTTATGCCTTCTGCTCTGGCATCCCTTCCTCGCCAATTTACACCCGAGGAATCCCAACAGGTTTATTCCAGCACATCCAAGGTGGGGGGGGCTCCAGGACAAGAGCAAGCGCTCGGAAGGGAGCTGCGCCTGCCCTGCCTGGTGCTTCCAGCCTTGACATCCTGCGATACGAGGCTGGGTGTCAAACGCCAAACCGTCGGGGGACGAGGCCCTAGCCAGCTGAAGTCTATGCTTACTCAGAGGTAAATTCCCTGGATATCATTTCGAGAAGGTTTCCGGCTTGCATAAAAGAGCCGGCCAGACCTGGAGGGCGAGAACTCTTCCAGGTAGCAAAAGGGGGAAATGGGCTTGGACGGTGCCTTGTGATGAATTTTTTTCCCCCTGTGTAAAAGGGAGATGGGTATTCGCGCGCCCCTCCGCCCAGCACCCCACCTCACCCCGACCAACCCGCTCTACCTTCTTTGACCATGCCAACTGCCAGGCACTTCTGAAAGCGACAGTATTGGCACCGGTTCCGGCGACGTTTGTCCACGGGGCAGTTTTTATTCGCTAGACAAACGTACTTGGCGTTTTTCTGGACGGTGCGCTGCGGAGACAAGGGGGAAGCGGGTTGGAAGCCCCAAGGCGGGCCCTGCC